CCTTTCTCCCACAGAGTCACTGTATTTGCTCCGCCAGTTTAATATGTACGACTGCTGTGTACATGCGCGTTGTGTACATTTGTTAAACGTGTGTTTTTGTACGTGTGAATCCCAGGGGAGGGTGGGTGGGGGGGGGTGCGTATTGGATAGAATCTGCGCGAATTCTATCACAACGATATTTAATATCTACTCACGACGAGCCCGTATACCTTATTTACAATGTCCATATAAACATATACACTGCGCTTGACCGCTTAAACCTATTATCGATATACGAAGTTGAAGAAGGTAGAAAGTACTATTTTGTACCTTAGGTTCTGAGGGATAGAAACGAAAACGAAGGAAATGAGAGAGCTTACGGAACGATCCTGACTAGACCGTGGATGTTAACTGTAGATGGACGTGTCACTTTAGACCAGTCTTAACAAATTAACAAATACAATTCGCTGAAAGATATTACAGTTCCGAAATTAATTCTACAATGAATTTCATTAATTTCTAGCTTGTAAACCGGAGTCATGTTTGGAGTAATCGTCGACAGTAACTTTGGTAATCTTGAAAGGAATTAACGGAAATTTTAAGCCGTAGAAATAGAGCAAATGAACTCCAAGGGTTGAAGCGCATAATAAGGTTACACAGAATTAATTATAGCATTCGTATGCGTGACAATGAAAATGAATGCTATAGCATCCGCAAAGGGTTAACACTAGAACTACTAAAATGACTGGTTTCGATTTTTTTGTTTAATTATTATCTTCAAAGCATTGAATATCCGAAACGATTTTGAAAATGAATAGTTTCAGTACCACAACGAATGCCTGAAGAAACTGAGAATAATCTACTGTTACAATTTTGATGGAAACTGCATGTTAATCGTATTAAATGCTCGGTAGTTGTAGCGTTAACAACCTTAGAATTAATTAAACGGTACAGTCGCGAGTGTTTTCCTCGCTGATACATTAACATCAACGGTCTAATTACGAAACGCAGGAGTAAATCAAAGGGAAACAGTGAAGTAAAGTGGCGTTTAGGGTATGAGAGGATTTGAGAAAGGGGAAAGGGCTCGGGAGGGAGGGGGAGAGGGGTTTAAAACAAACTAATGCTGGCCTGTGTGCGAAGATCAATCCTTCGTGGTCTCCGACGCGGAGAGGAAACATCGTTACGTGGTTGGTCGCCCGACATATTGAACTCGTTTAACAGAAATCGCTGATATCCGTCCCTACGAGCGAACACGAGAGTAGCTCCTAACCGGCTACACCGACGTAACATAATATATATTTAACAGGGAATCCTTAATCGAACCTTAACCGCTAAATAAATCTTACAATTGGACTGAGTGATAAATTATTATCGACTGTACAACGCCGTAGTCTTTTTCTTCTTCTTCTCCAATTTACTAGTTCTTTCCCGTTCACTCCCTGTGCTATATCTGTCATCTCTCTGCTCGTCCTCGACGTTCGCCAAGCCTGACGCGCACGCACGCACGCACGCACGCACGCACGCACGCACGCGAACGGGTGATTTTCCCAAGCGTCCGGGATCTCCGTTGGAATCGCGCGATAACAGAAGATAATTCCCCGAGCAGGGGCGCTCGCTCGCTTCGCTCCTTTTTGGACCACGTAAATATGTGTTTCTCTTCTTCTCTTATTTTTTCTTCATTTTATTATTCATTTTTCTTCATTACAAAATATACTTCCTCCTGTCGATCGCGAAGCGGTCTAGTGGGATGATCTCGAGGAAGATGACGTGTATCGATGTGCAAGTGATCGCATCGGGATGGCAATTTGATCGCTGCACGGCCGCCTCTCTCTTCTGTTGTTTCCTTTTTTTCTCTTTTAGAACGAAACGAACGAAACGGGAAGGGAACCGGGACGCTTTCTTCGCAAAGTGTCTCGTTCCGTGTGATTAAATCATTCGAAGTTCGACCGTCGTAGAGTTTCTGCCAGGTGAACGATTAGGAAGGTACTGGCAAGAAATGTGGTTACGGTAGAACTCTATTTATCCGATGAGACATCGGGGTTCCGAGCTGTTCGAGCAACCGGGACCTTCGCACCGAGAGTGATGCGGCACAAATTTGATCAGTTTCACGAGGAAGATTAAAAGAGAAATAACAGGCGAT